GAATGAAAACCCAAAATCTCTGTAAATGTTCATTAAAATTAATGAAATTTAATAAAAAAGAATATGAAATAGTAACCACATATCATCATTCACCCTTTCCCCTGCTCACCTTACCTGGGTCTTCTTTTAATTCATCGAACACATTGAAGTAGTTTCCAATAAACATCTTCCCTCTGGGAATCCTCTGTGTTCCTTAGAAATGAATATCATGCTTGGAAAAGGTGGAGGTTAACGAAAGAGAGGAAGACTCTGAACAAGATAGATTGACATAGGGACTGCAGCAATGGGCTTGAGTATGTCAAAGAGGCTGAGGGATGGTTCAGGAAAAGACAGGATTCAGATCTAGTGCTCATAGGCTTGTTATGAATAGTACTCAACCTGACAGCACCTAACAACATCAACAACAACTCTTCAGAATTGACTCACAACAGGTTTCAGAGGCTGCAAGCCACACAGGAGGAAATTGCCCTTCTTTCTCTCACAGAAAAACTGGTGGATTTAAACCTGTTGCCTTTGAGTTGGCAGTGGGGTTCCTTGTCCATTAGGCCACTAGAGATCTTTCACTTTCCTGCTGCTCACTGATGGACTCTGGGCTTAACAAATTCTGGGTGATGTGATACAATAAGGCTTGGGTTCTTTCTGGGAGGCCTGAACCAGGTAGCTGTGGGTTCTTTTTCAGGTATCCATTTAGTTGTGCATGCTGACAATGAGCAGGTCGAATCTAGATCACTTGTCAGCTAACTTTTATCTAGGCTATCATCTTTACATTTTAAAGAAGAAATCTTGAGTATGGGACAGATAGCACAGATGTAAATTTTACCTGACAGCACCACTCCTAGGGCCTCAACTTGTCAAAAAGTTGCATAAGAAATACAAAATGCTGTTGCTGGAACAGAGTCATTTTCTTCTAGTTTCTCTCCAACTTTAAAATAAACTTAAATGTCATAAGTAATCTAAATGAAATTAAAAACCTCTTTCTGACATTGTTTTTCTTACCCAGCCTCATTTCTCTCATTCAGAATGATACCAGTATTATTCCCTTCCATTATCCTCTATCACTATAGAATAACAACCAAAGTCTTGCCATGAAAGAGATATTCCTTCACAACCTGCTTGATATAGGGATGAAAGATCCCTGTATCATTACCTGTGAAGGTGGTTGTTTTTAATAAAGCCAACTGAGGAGGACCTGAAGCGCTTGCTGCAGAAGATCAAGGACTTCAGTCTTCAATATGGATTAACATTAAGCTTAACATTAAGAAAACAAAGATTCTCACCACTGGGCCAATTGGCAGCATCAGGATGGATGGTGAAGAGATTGAGATAGTTAACAGTTTTAGTTTACTTGGTTCCACAGTCAACACTCTTGGTAACAGCAGCCACGAAATCAAGAGATGAATTGCATTGGGAAAGTCAGCTGTGAGGGACCTCTCAAGAGTACTGATGAGCAACGACGTCAGGTTGAAGATTAAGGTGTGCCTGATCCAGGCTATGGTCTTAGCAATTATGTGCTATGCATCAGAGAGTTGGATAGTGAATAGGGATGATAAAAGAGAATTGATGCCTTTGAGCTGTGGTGCTGGAGAAGAGTGTTGAATATACCATGGACTGCTAGGAGAACAAACAGGTCTGCCCTGGAGAGGGTAAAGCCAGAATGCTCCTTGGAGTCAAGGATTCTGAAGCTTCATCTGACATACTTTGGGCATGTTGCAAGGAGGGACTGGTCCTTGGAGAGGGACGTGATGTTTGGGAGAGTGGAGGGGCGGTGCAGGAGAGTGGTGGGAATGAGTGTGTTTGACATGGCGAGGTTGGCACAGGATAGAACGGTGTTTAGGGCTCTTGTGCATAGGGTCACTATGAGTCGCAAGCTACTCGATGGCACATAACAATAACAACACCAACTGATACTATTTTTTTCTGCCTACCTAATGTTATGAAACCTTCTGAGAACCAAATAAAGGCAAATTATCTCCATTCCCAGGAAAGTGCACACACTTCTGTAAATGCACGTGCACACAGAGTATTTTGTAGACACTTTCATTGAATTCATGAATCTCTGAAAAAGTGGACACAGAACATTAGGACTTTCTGATGGCTATTATTTATGATATATACCTTGCTAGTATTTATTATTTTTTTATATCAGGAGAAATTGAGAAGACTGATTGTTTTATGAGCCACTGGCTTTATATTCTCTAATTATTAGTATTAACAAAAGAATAACCCATTCAATGTCTATAATAAAATAAACCTTTGAGTAACTATAGGTCATTCACTGACTTTCTGTCTCTAACAGTCATTGTTTTTTCTTTTACTACAATTATCCCCTTCAACCTCTTATTCCTTTTGATTAGAACAATTATGATTCCAGCGATATGCATTTGAAATGTTGACACAACCAAATATGGGGAAAGCTTGAGTTTCAGACAGTTTCAGGTGGTTGGGGTTTTTTTATCCCCCAACATTAGTCTTAAGCAAACTGGGGAGTGGTGTGGCTACTTTGTATTTGAGTGTAGTCTGGGCTTAGTCTACCTCTGCAGGTAATTAATTCCCCAGCTTATTATTTTTTCTAGTTGGCTCTTGTTTAGCTTACACAGAGCCCCACCCCAAAGTGCTTTATTGTCCCTCTGCTATTCCTACATATGGTCAAAATCAACACACCTTCCGGGTTGCTGACATCAGCATATTCACTGTTTGGCAAACTGGGCTCTGCTCCCAGTAACCCTTTTGTGAAAGACGTGTTATTAGAGGGGAGTATATCTGATAGTAATTCTGTTCAATCTCCTTGATTTCTAGATGTATTCCTAAGGAGAAACTTTGTCTATTAGGATTTACAAGCACAGGCAGATGTCAGTTCTTCCAGACCTGTTGGATAGTTGAACACTGTTAATGAGCAAACAGCCCTTCCTCAATTAGTGGTTTGTGAAATATTCCTGGATATCAAATTGCTTTTGCTGCTGATAATCACACTGGCTCTTGGGACGAGAAGCAATGAATCAAAATTGTTCCCTTGATGAGAATTGCCTTGTTGAGCTAAGTTTTATCTGTAGAAAGGATTTAAGTTTATTATTTCCCCAGAGCTGAGGTTTGATTTCCACATGTAATCATTGTTTTGATGTTCATGTGCTCTCTTGCTAATCTAGTTCATAGCATGTAGATTACCATCCTTTGAGACTGATTCTGTAATAATTAAAGATTTTAGATGTAAATTAACAACTATAAAAGATAAAACGAACAGTAAACTGCTATAGAATTATTTTCCGTAGGCATAGTTGTTTATTTCAGAAGTAGTGTAAGGTGGGGAAGACACACACACACACACACACACACACACACACACACACACACACTGGGAGAGTGGGTGAAAAGTATTTCCTTTTGTAGTGCTATAATTTAAAGTAATAATGAAATTGAGAGATTTATCCAGCAGAACTGTAATGTCTGGTTTACGATCTTAATGTCTGCTTATTTTCTCAGTAACTTCAGATTGCAGTTAACCCTAGCAACTGATAAAAATACATGACAATTCCTAATTGTCCTTTGATGTTACATAAATTTGCCTTCATTTAGAAAACATTTTACCAAGCCCACCTAGAATTAAATCTTCATCATAATCATTTGTTGTATCCAGTTTTTAAATCACTGAGAAAGTTTTAAGACTTTTTTTGCAGTCAAGTAGGACTATATGAACCTGTTGTGATTTACCTACAAATTCTTTAAGACATTAAAAAATGGGTCTCCTTTGTAACCAAGGGCTGCTTGGTGTAGCTTGGGAAGATAAAAGTAGTAAGGAGAAAGGAATTCAAGATGTTATTTCTATTTGAAAACATTTACTGTGACAAGAATTCTGTCATAAATATTCATAAGCAAAGACCATCTTTCTTATCTAGGGATTCCAAATTGGAAGGCTACATCTTTTGTAAAATCTGCTACTAGTTCCTACTTTGAGAAACAAGCATCTATTGTTAAATTTCCAACATTATAAATGATCACAGCACATGTCACCTGACACAATCCCAAATTTTAGTGTTTGACTTCCCAGTCTCTACCTCTGCAGCCCCTTCAAACACCACACTGTCCTTGGCAAGCAATTCTATGTAGTTGGGAGAGGAAAGAGTAGCTTGATGATAGCATCTGCGACACTAATTTCTAAGGTCCCATAGGGGATAATTTTCATTGCTTGGTAGTAAGAAGCACTGAGCATGATTCCGATTGACTCTTAACTCCTTAAGTTTCACCTAGAAGAATTAAAGATAATGCAGTAAAGAGTTTGGGAGGGGAGTTACTTTTTCAATATTTTATTGTATTTTCTTAAATATCCTTTCTGGAATTTTCAGAAACAAAACATAAAAAAATTATATATTTTATTACAAATGGTAAACTCAGAGTGCTCCAAATCTTATTTACAAACAACACTGGGCAGGATACCCAACAAACAAACATGAAATAACTTACAAAGGCATGAAGCTGTTTATTGATAATAACCAGCTTTCATCAAATTAAAAAAAATATATATGTACATACACAGTTAAGGAAGGCAGGCCTGAAAGAGTTCATCGTAGGCTCAGCTTCCCTCTCACAAATTTCCCTCCCGCCTCCCTTCCCCACCCCCGCCCCCTCTTTGTGTTCTTAAGGAGTACTACAGAAGCAATCTACAGTCTCTATTGCAGTTTGAAACCCCTCCCCCTCCCCCCTTTTAATACTGAATGAGATCGAATGTTAGGTCCATGCAGTTCTTGGTCAATGTTAAAGAAAAGTCTAACGTTCCGTTGGCGCTGGGACAGCCCGTCCGCAAAGCCGGGCAGCCCGGAGGCTGCTGCTCCCTGGCTCCACGCCAAGGGAGGGCGCGCCAAGTCCTTCCCACTCGTGCACACTGGGGGCGCCGTCAGGACGCAACCCAGTCCAACTTGGATACCCTTGGCTTTAGTTCTCGGACACTTCTTTTCTCTCCCTCTCTCGCAACTTCTCAAGTTCTCAAATCTGTCTCTCTGTGTTGTTTGTCTCCGTTTCCCCTCGACCCCCGACAGTCTCTCTTCAAAACGTTTGCAACTGCTGTGTTAGCATGAGCTGGCACCCACTATTAACGTGGTTCATGACTTTCTGTTTAAGCTGTGCCACCTGTTCCCTGAGCATGTTGGCGGTGGACGCCAGCTCCGAGTTCTGCGCTTTCAAGGTTTTCACTTTTTCCTCCAGCCGGGCGATCCTCTCCAGCTTCCTTTTCCGGCATTTGGAGGCAGCTATGCGGTTCCTCATGCGCTTCCTCTCCGCCTTGATCCGTTCCTGTGACTCCATGTCGATGGGAGACAGGGGCGGCGTCTCCCCGGGCATCTCGGGGACCGTCTGCGGTTCCTCCTTCAGGGCCTGCAGCCGTGGGTGCTGCACCGGGATCTGCTGGGGAAGATGGTGCGGCGGCTGGGGCTGCTGTTGGGGCTGCGCGGGAAAGGCCAGGCCACCCGCGCCATAGGAGGGCGCCCCGCCACCGCTGCTCAACGCGCCCGGGTTGAAGTTGCTAAGGTTGGCGTAGACCGGAGGTTCGCTGTGCAGGCTGGCGCTGAAGCCGCCGTTGCCGCCGGCCACGGAGGCCACGGCCGGGGCCACCATGCCCGCCCCACTGACCGGCTGTGCCGCGGACGTGACGCTGGGCAGCGTGTTCTGGCTGTGCAGTTCGGCCAGAGCGCGCACGAAGCCCTCGGCAAAGCCCTCCTGCTCATCCGTCACGTTCTTGGGGCACAGGAACTGGGTGGGGGTCGGCGTGGTGGTGATGTGCCCGTTGCTGGACTGGATGATCAGACGCTCCAGCTCGGGCGAAGCCAGCTTGAGCAGCCCCACGTCGGGCGAAGTGAGCAGGTCCGAGTTCTTGGCGCGGAGGTGCGGCTTCAGGCTGCCCACCGGGTCGGCCAGGTTCAGGGTCATGCTCTGCTTCAGGATCTTGGGGTTACTGTAGCCGTAGGCGCCGTTCTCAGACGGGAGGAAGGAGGCGTTGAGGGCATCGTCGTAGAAGGTCGTTTCCATCTTTGCAGTCATAGAACAGTCCGTCACTTCGCACGAGGTTAGTTTGGGCTGCGCGTACAAGTTTTGGGGCCGCGACAGCGCGCGGGCAAGCGGGGGACACCCGCGCCTCCCCGCGGCCAGAGGCAAGGAAAGTTTCTTTAAGGGCGCGCGCACCCGCTGTCTGGCCTCCCCCGGGAGCCCTCCTCACCAGCTCGCTCCCGGGCACGCTGGGGCAAGAGACTCCTGCACCCTCTCGGGCCGCTCACTCGCCCCGCTCTGCTTGCAAAGTCGTGATCACTCACTGAGCGTTCGGTGGGCGCAGTGGTTCCGCGGACGAACTCACTTCCTCGCGATCGCAGCTTTCCTGGCTATGCTACCGAGCGCAGACCCAGGAGTGGCGAGCCGGCGGCGGGTCTCGGCCGCCCCAACTCCGATCACTGACCCCTCCTCCGCAGCGAGGGGAGGGGGTGCCTGGCAGCCGCGGTTCGCTCTTGCCCAAGTTCAGCAACCGGTGTGTGCAAAGCTGGATGCGGGTCCCTCTTCCCTCTCCTCTCCCGCTGCCTTCTTCTTTACCGTTGCCGCAAGAGGAGGAAAGGTTTGCAAAAGTTCTCTCCGGGACCAGGAGCCACTTGTCCCCTTCTCCTCTCAGCTGGGAAAGTTCTTTGCCGCTACAGGAGCTCTCCGGACTTCCCCCGGTGGACGGGCGCTCACCGATCTCAGCGGCTGTCAACGCCCGGGCAGCGAGGTTCTCCTCCCAGGGGCAGCTGGAGCAAGGGGCTCTCCGGACGCTCCCCAAAACACCAGCCGGGAAGCCACAGGCGCTAGGTCTAGGCAGTTGGTTCAAAGCAGAAAAGAAAATACGATTTGCAGTTCGTACTCCACTGCCTTCCTGACAGATTATGCCTCTGTCTGAGTCCGCGCCTCTTCACTACCGCTTCGCCGCTTCAACCACACTCAGTGCAACTCTGAGCCCTTACCCAGTCCCGAGCTCAACACTTATCTGCTACCAGTCAACCCCTAAAAATAGCCCATGATGTCACCCCGAGACCTTCCCATTGGCTCGTGTCGCTCTCAGGGGGGCGGTCCCGCCCGTCGCCATGGAGACTCCACCCTGGAAGATTCTTCCCCGGGCCCGCGGAGGCTCACGGGATGAGGTAATGCTCCGCTGCCCTCCTACAGTTGGGCCCTTCTTTCTCCTCCTCCCTGCCCCCCTCCCGTGCGACTCTCGCCCTCTGTTTCCCCCTCCCCTCCGGGGCCAGTCTTTCCCGGCCGGCCCGATGCATTGTGGGCTGACGTCTTGGGGTTTGACTGTCTAGTGACGGTGGCTGCTACGAGTCTGTGGACGCTCGCAGCCAGTGACGGAGGCGGGCTCAAGTTCAGGCCTCCGGACTGTAGGGAATGCGGAGACCTAAGAAGATGCGAGACTGTCAGTTGCTAGGGGCTGAGGGCGTGCGGTGATGTATAGTATTTGCCCACTTGAGGGGCTCCAAGTGGCTCGTGGACATGTCGGTGCTACACGGGGTTAGGCGGCAGCTAGCCTGCGTCTGTGCGCCCCCCTCCGTACTTCCGGGGGCGGGAGCGCCGCCTTTAAGGTGGTTCTTAGTATTCAGTAGGGGCAAGTGAAAGTGGGCTTAAGTTTAGGGGAGGTCGTGTGGGGTTGATCCCCCACTTCCTGCAGCACGGACACATAAATACACACACACACACGCACAAACTCTGAAGTTTGTCTCTTGGTCAAGTTCATGAGTCTGCCCCATTCGTTGGTGCTGCCCAGGGTGGATTGATTTGCGCAGCTTGAAACTAGGCGCTCCGCTGTGTCTCTGCTGTACCTCACATCACCCTCTCGGGACCAGAGGGAAGAGGGTTTGTGGGAGTTTGCAGCTTTGTTTAGGGAGTGAGGTTTTCACGCGGGAGAAATTGGGCATCAACAGGGTCCACTAGGGAATAAGTGTTTAGGGAATCCGAAGTCCTGGGAACCCCAGTGTTTTTGGACCATACACAACACTCTACAGCGCGCGCGCGCGCACACACACACGCACACACACACACACACACACACACACACACGCTTCGATACACACTACATACACACACACGCCCCTCCAGTAATTTTCTTCAGGGAAACATGAACTCGAAATCCTGGGGCCCCGATGATCTTTATCGTGTGTCTGTCTCTCCTCTCTGTCTCTGTCTCTTTTACACACACACACACACACACACACACACACAC